ACACACAATAAGAGTAGAATGGTAGTTACTGGGGGCTAGGAAGAAGGGCGGGGGAACAGAGAGAAAACAGTTACAAGAGTGCAGTTGGATAGGATAAATAATGTTCCTCAAGTAGAGTAAGGTAACCATGATTGACAATAATTACTTGTGTATTTCAAAATAGTTAGTAGAGACGATTTGTGGGGCTGGCACTAGGATGCAAACTCAGAGCCTGTGTTTACCAGGTGGGTGCTTTATTATTTGAGCCACACCCTCTAGCCCAAGAGTATTTAAAAATGTTTCTAATTCAAAGATATATTTGTTTGAGGCGAAAGATATGCCAGTTACTTCCATCTGATCATTACACATTGTATACATGTCTTAAAATGTCATGCTTTCCCATAAATATGCATAATTACCTGTACAATTAAAATTAGTATTAAAAACAAGCTACTCGGGGAGGCAGAGATCTGCAAATCATAGTTTGAAACCAGCCTGGGGAAGAAATTCCATGAGACTCATTTCCATCAATAAGCTAGAGATAAGCTGAGCACTGGTGGCTCACACCGGTAATCCTAACAACTCATGAGGCTGAGATCTCCGACAAACCACTAGAAAACAGAAGTGAGGCTGTGGTTTAAAGTGGTAGTGTTCTAACGTTGAGTGAAAAATGTCAGGGACAGCACCATGCCCTGAGTTCAAGGTCCCCAACAACAACCAAACAAACAAAGCTAGAAGTGAAGCTGTAGCTCAAGTGGTAAAGCACTAACCTTGAATGAAAAAACTAAGGTACAGCATCAAGGACTTGAGTTCAAGCTGATGGACATAAAGTTGACTTCATAGGCAAAAGCGGGGTAGTTGTTCTTGGTTGTCATCTTCAGAATGTGGGTGGATTATGCCACAGTTGGCTGGTTGGGTGTACAATGACTTTCTTGTCACAGATGACATGGGAAGGGACTGATGTCAGAGTCCAGAGGTTTAGGGAAGAGCTAATGCAGAATTCCAAGAAATTCAGTCCTATGAGGCAGCTCATTCGATCATTCCACAAAATATTTATTGAGCTTCTACTACATGCCCAGTATTGGCTCATTTTCTAATTGTGTGACTTCCTGAAGACATCTATTTCAGACTTCCTAGGAATTCCCAAGGTTGGTAAGCTCAGGCACTTAGATGGCAGCTTCTTGCCTTCCTTTCCTGGCATCTAGAGACCCAGACTAGAGGGGCCCCTACTCTCCATGGAGCTGTCTTTGTTTAATAACGCTTCGAAGCACAAGTGAGCTCTGTATTACTGGCCTTTCCCCAGAAGTGGCTGGAGTGCTTGGAAGCTACTAGTTCTAGCCTTGCAGAGCCAGGGGGCAGGCCCAAAGCACCAGCCATGAGCTTTGTTCCTCAAGCCTCGGGAGAAAACCTTTGATTTCATGCGGATGATTATTTTTATTCTTGCCCACTCAAGGATGAAGCTCAAGGAACAAGAGGTTTTCCTTTTCAGAGGCGTCACAATGGCTTACCTCCAGCCAAACCCACTGGGTTTTGTTTTGTGTTATTTCTGGGTTTGGTTGGGCCTCTCTTGGAAACCATTACTATACAACTTACTTAAAGAAAGAGTGGAGGGACTGGCCATAAGAGATTCAGATGGGGAGCTGGGGTGTGTGGTGGGGGGAGATGGATGTGAGGGGGGCTGAAGCAGAAGGCTGGAGAAAGTGCAGGAAGGACACATTAAAGTCACAATGAGATTTGAATCAATTCCATTTTGTAGTGACATTTTTAATCTTTTACAAAGTTAAACTATTCCAAGTTTGACTTTTGGCCAACCCTAGAGAGTTGGGTATTTGGATGAAGGTTTCAGAAAAAAAGAAAAGAGACACAACACACACACACACACACACACACACACACACACACACACACACACACACAGACATGCATGAGGAAGGAGAGAAAGGGGGAGGGAAACTTTTATCCTAAAGTCATTGTAAATCCAAAGCAGGGTTTTATCCTCCACAGTTAAATGAGAAAGAAAAAAAAATCAAGAATACCAACATTTGAGGTACAAAGACTGTGGTGGACCAGTGAAGTTTGTAAAATTATATGTAAATGAGCAAAGTTTTTTTTACTATGGTGACCCAAAGCTAATCCCAGAGAGAAAATCTACTTAGCAAAAGAAAGTTTTGTCTAATTTGGTTAACAGTTGAGAAGCGACAAAAATGCTGAATATATTAATAATTTATATTTCCAGGGTAACACTATATCTTTAATGCTTCACTGCCAAAGGGAATTCAGATTGGCTTAATGCTCAGAGGGGGGAAAAATCCTTGAAAGGCCTTCTTCATATTCTGTATCCAGTACTGATGAAATGGGTGTAAGACATGTGTTTCAATAATGGGTACCTTCCACTCTCCCTTCCCTGAATAATTTGCTCTTATCCCACCATATCGCTCCATGTATATTTGCTAGCCACAGAGGCTGTCTGGTCTGATGTTCATGTCCATGTCCACACTATCAGTTCATAAAGAAGGTGCTAGGTCCCCTGTTGTCAATGTTACTTATGTTACTTCAAGAATCCTTTACATGCAAGAACTTTACTACAATGTATAGCTCCCCCCCCACAATATATGCAATTACAAGTGTCATTTTTTATGGACTGCACAAGGAAAAGTTTTGTTTGTTTGTCTGTCTCTGTGCAATGAAGTTTGTTGGTTTACAAATTGCAGGACATCCCATTCTCTGACCTCAGTAAACAAAGTAGGTCAGAGTTCTCTGAAATCCTGTCCAGAGAAAAAGAAGAAGTTAATTTTCTATGGTCTGGCCTCCCGCATCTTCAGCTTGATGACTCCTGGAGACAGGAAAATGGTTCAATCTCATTTCGAATTATTTATTTCAAAGGTACCAAAGATAGAATTTCCAAGAAAACAATCAGTGATCAGGGGAAACATTTAGATAGCTAGCTAGTTTACTTTACCCATTCACGTAAAGCAATATGGAGTTCCACTTGGCGATGTGGGTCTCAGAAAAAGTGATTGTAGCTTGCTATTGAAAATGTTCTCAGTATTTTGTGGAAAAGCACAGATGTGCTGGGATCGACGGTCATCATCCCTTAAGAGAGGTCACTAGCCAAGTTTTACCTAGAGTCTACTTCCCTAAATGCCCTGACTGGAGAGCGAACAATTTTTTAAAATTCTGCTGCGAAGTGGGGGTGGAGGATGAACCTTTGTCTCCAGGCCCGACAACTTGAACCTCAACTCCATCGACGTGATGGGGGGAGGAGGGAAAGTGGCGGGGGGAGGGGGAGGGAAGGGGGCATTCGTGCACAACTGGGCAGCGTT